TGGCGTAGGTTGAGAGCACGAGAAACGGTAAAGCCAGCAGCCGTGCCAGAGGCATGATGGAGTCTGTAGCTGCCAGCGCCATCCGGACTGGAGGAAGGCTGCGCACGCCTCACCGTGTTGGGGGTGCGCGCGGGCGTCCACAATTCTCTCAGCACGCGCGGCATAGACGTCAGTGGATGTGGAGGAACAGGAGGAGGTCCTGGGCGCCCACTTAGGCAACAGTAGCAGACCATTCTATCCGCGCACTGTGCTGATGAGTTGCTCGCGAATGGCGGGAAACGAAACGACGTGCACACGCTGCACACGCATCCATTTCAACTGCAAGCTCATTCCCACTGTCGCGCCACATTTGCGAAAAGATGGCTGGCTGGAGGGCAGCTCTAAAACGCACTCACGCCACACTCCGACAGACGGATCACGATCCAAGACGCAACCACGAGGCATCATGTCGTCGCCGCAATCGCCAGACGGTGCAATACCATTAGCCTCGACCGCTGCCTGGGCTTTTTGCCTCCGCGAAGATGCTGGATGCGGCGCGCCAGTCGCGTGCGGACGTAGCCGGCAGCAACACCAGGGACTCATTGGCCGACGAAAGCGCAGTGCCAGCGTGGCAGCATCGGGGGGCGCGGCGCCTGGGGAAGCCGGTGGCCCCTTTAGGGTTAAGTCGGGCCTGTCCCCCTACAGGGGGAATTTCGACGAAAAATAAACAATACCCCAAAAATAGTCAAACAATATTCCAAAAATAGTCCGGGGACTATTTTTTGACCTTCTTGGGTAATTTTGGGGGTATTTTTCCCCACATCCTGAGTGGGGTTCTTGTTTTCCCAGAACGCCCTCTCCTCCTCCTCCTCCTCCTCCTCCTCCTCCTCCTCCTCCCGCGTCCTTCTCCTAAACCATACCATACGATACCATTCCGCACATCACCATACCATACCAAGCCATACCATACCAATACCATTCCATACCAATACCATACCAAGCCATACCAATACCATACCATACCATAGCAAGCCCTACCATACCAATACCATACCATACCAATACCATTCCAAACCATACCAAGCCATACCATACCAATCCAAAACCATACCAAAACCATACCAAGCCATACCATACCAATACCAATACCATACCAATACCATGCAACACCTGTTATTTATCAGGTTTCGTATGAGCTCCCTCCCACCATGCCAATGCCATACCAATACCATACCAATCCCATGCGCCCCTCCCACCCCATCCAGGGAGGCCCCGCCTGAGCGAGGACGCTATTCGAAAACAGTGTTATTTATCAGGTTTCGTGCCCCTCCCACCCCTCCAGGGAGGCCCCGCCTGAGCGAGGACGCTATTCGAAAACAGTGTTATGTATTAGGTTTCGTGCCCCTCCCACCCCTCCAGGGAGGCCCCGCCTGAGCGAGGACGCTATTCGAAAACAGTGTTATTTATCAGGTTTCGTGCCCCTCCCACCCCTCCAGGGAGGCCCCGCCTGAGCGAGGACGCTATTCGAAAGCAGTGTTATTTATCAGGTTCCGTGCCCCTCCAACCCCTCCAGGGAGGCCCCGCCTGAGCGAGGACGCTATTCGAAAACAGTGCTATGTATCAGGTTTCGTGCCACTCCCACCCCTCCAGGGAGGCCCCGCCTGAGCGAGGACGCTATTCGAAAGCAGTGCTATTTATCAGGTTTCGTGCCACCCCCACCCCTCCAGGGAGGCCCCGCCTGAGCGAGGACGCTATTCGAAAACAGTGTTATTTATCAGGTTTCGTGCCACTCCCACCCCTCCAGGGAGGCCCCGCCTGACGCGAGGACGCATTCGAAAGCAGTGCTATGTATCGGTACGTGGCTGCCCTCCAAACCCTCCAGGGATGGACCCGAATGAGCGAGGACGCTCATTCGAACACAGTGTTTTTTTATCAGGTTTCGTGCCCCTACCACCCCTCCAGGGAGGCCCAGCCTATGCGGAGCGAGACGCTATTCGAAAGCAGCGCTATTTATCAGGTTCCGGCCCCTCAACTCCTCCAGGGAGGCCCGCCTGAGCGAGGGACAGACGATAATTCGAAAACAGTGTTATTATCAGGTTTCCGTGCCCCTCCACACCATCAAGGGATGGCCGCCTCTGAGCGAGGACGAATTCGAAAACAGTGTTTATTTACAGGTTTCGTGCCCCTCCCACCCTTCCAGGGAGGCCCCGCCTGAGCGAGGACGCTATTCGAAAGCAGTGCTATGTATCAGGTTCCGTGCCCCTCCAACCCCTCCAGGGAGGCCCCGCCTGAACAAGCACGCTATTCGAAAACAGTGTCATTTATCATGTTTCGTGCCACTCCCACCCCTCCAGGGAGGCCCCGCCTGAGCGAGGACGCTATTCGAAAACAGTGCTATTTATCAGGTTCTGTGCCCCTCCAACCCCTCCAGGGAGGCCCCGCCTGAGCGAGGACGCTATTCGAAAACAGTGTCATTTATCAGGTTTCGTGCCACTCCCACCCCTCCAGGGAGGCGCCGCCT